TAGTAGTATGAGGAGGAGGAGGAGGAAGAGGAGGAGGATGAGGAGGAGGCGGAGGAGGAAGGGTTTGAGGAGGAGTAGGAGTAGGAGTAAGATTAGGAGTATGCGCAGGAGTAGGAGTAGGAGCAGGAGTACGCGTAGGGGTGTGAGGAGGAGGAGGAGTTGGAGGAGGAGGAGGAGGAGGATGAGGGGGATGAGGAGGAGGAGGAGGAGGAGGAGGAGGAGGAGGAGGAGGAGGAGGAGGAGGAGAAGGAGGAGGAGGAGGAGCATGAGAGGATGACGAGGAGGAGCAGGTTGAGGTTTTGGTTGAGGTTCAGGAGGAGTAGGAGTAGGCGTAGGCGTAGGAGTAGGAGTGGGCGTAGGAGTAGGAGACGGAGTAGCAGTAGGAGTCGGAGGAGGAGTAGGATTACGAGTAGGAGTGTGAGTAGAAGGTGGAGGAGGAGGTGGAGGAGGAGGAGGAGGACCCGTGTAGGCCCAAGAGTCACCAACGATGTTAGAATAATCCCTCGCCCCAAGCTCCCCCTTCATAGGCCCCTACAACGGCTCATTTCCACAGAGGGACCTGCCTAGTTGGAACACAACCGTTTGAAAACCTTGAAGCATGCCAAACTAGTATTCTCGGTATTCCAACGCCACGGATAAACCCGACTGTTGTGTCTTGATGATCCCGAATCGTGCCAGAATGTCATTCCTGGGACTTTAGCTTCGCGAGTTATTTTAATTGTTGCGCCCTCAAATCGTGAATCTGTCTAAACCACAATTTATGGTACGTCGATCATGGGAGGCCGTGAAACCCTTGCGATTTTGTATCCAGAATGTGCGCGGCGCTAAGGCGAGAGCCACACCTTTGAACAGGAACCACCCTCGATCCGTGAAGCCCTGACAAGTTTTTAAAACGAATGTGCGCGGCGCTCAGGCGAGAGCCACATTTTGAAAACCACCCGCCATCAGTCCGTGAGTCTCTGGCAAATGTTAAACAAACAAATGTGCGCGGCGCTCAGGCGAGAACCACATTTTGAAAACCACCCGCCCTCAATCCGTGAAGCTCTTGTAACGTTTAAAACGAATGTGCGCGGCGCTAAGACGAGAGCCACATTTTGGAAACGACCCGCCCTCGATCCGTGAAGCTCTCGCAATTTTTTAAGACGAATGTGCGCGGCGCTAAGACGAGAGCCACATTTCGAAAACCAACCGCCCTCCATCTGTGAAGCTGTTGTCAAATTGTAAGTTTCAGGGTCATACATGGTGAGGAGGTCTCAGGCGAAACCCCCTGCCCGCCCTAAAAACTGGCCTCAGGGTCTGACAGGGGTTATGTATTAGGAGACGGAACAGAGGAGGAGGAGAGGAGGAGGAGGAGGAGGAGGAGGAGGAGGAGGAGGAGGAGGAGGAGGAGGAGGAGGAGGAGGAGGAGGAGGAGGAGGAGGAGGAGGAGGAGGAGGAGGAGGAGGAGGAGGAGGAGGAGGAGGAGGAGGAGGAGGAGGAGGAGGAGGAGGAGGAGGAGGAGGAGGAGAGGAGGAGGAGAGGGAGGAGGAGGAGGAGGAGGAGAGGAGGAGGAGGAGGAGGAGAGAGAGGAGGGAGGAGGAGGAGGAGGAGGAGGAGGAGGAGGAGGAAGGAGGAGGAGGAGGAGGAGGAGGAGGAGGAGGAGGAGGAGGAGGAGGAGGAGGAGGAGGAGGAGGAGGAGGAGGAGGAGGAGGAGGGAGGAGGAGGAGGGAGGAGGAGGAGGAGGAGGAGGAGGAGAGAGGAGGAGGAGGAGGAGGAGGAGGGGAGAGGAGGAGGAGGAGGAGGAGGAGGAAGAGGAGGAGGAGGAGGAGGAGGAGAGGAGGAGGATGAGGGGAGAGGGAGGAAGGAGAAGAGGAGCGGAGGAGGAGGAGGAGGAGGAGGAGGAGGAGGAGGAGGAGGAGGAGGAAGGAGGAAGAGGAGAGGAGGAGGAGGAAGAGGAGGAGGAAGAGGAGGATGAGCAGGAGGAGGAGGAGAAGGAGGAGGAGGGCTCCCAGGGGCTTCTCGGGGGCCTCAGAGGAGCCTCTGGGGGTCTTTCGGGGCATGTTGGTGGCCTCTTGGGTGGTCTCTTGGGTCGCCCTCGGGCTCCCTTGGCCTGTGACGCCTTCGCATGCCACATTCGGGGCCCCTCTGGTCAGTCTTTGGCCCAGCTTTGGGGCTGTAAAGGCTGGCTTAGGGGTACATCTGTTCAGGGTCATGGTTGCCGACGGCTCTTTATGTGTTTTGCAGCAGAACGTCGTTAGACTTCGAATAGGCCATGTGATGATATGATCGTTGCCGCTTCTCCTATTTTGTTTCCTCCACGGAGGATGATCGTTTGATTAGGGGGCCACTGGCGAACCCTACCCCTACTCCCCACGATTTCTGAGGGGGAGGGTGGGGTCCACTTCGCTCAGGAACTCCCGAAGGAAGTGAACCCCACCCTGCCCCTGAGAAACCGCGGGGGGTAGGGGTAGGGTTCGCGTGTGGCCCCCTATCGATCCAGGCGTTCGCTTGAACTCTGTGACGGTGCCCCTCCGCCTGCGAAAGCTGGCCGAGCAACGCCGGGGCATGGAGGTCTCTTGCCGCCGTCGGGACGCCCTGTGGCCGTTGACCGGCCGAGCAATTCAGCTTCTGGGGCTGGACCTAGACTCGTTGTTAGGGGGCCACATGCGAACCCTACCCCTACCCCCCACGATTTCTGAGAGGGAGGGTGGGGTTCACTTCGCTCGGGAGCTCCCGCACGAAGTGAACCCCACCCTCCCCCTCAGAAATCGTGGGGGGTAGTGGTAGGGTTCGCATGTGGCCCCCTAGCTGTTTTGCTGTTTTGCTTTTGTTCTGTCTTTCGTTTTGCTCTGCCCATATTCCTGTACCTCCCTGCCAACAGCGAACAGCGGAGTACAGCCGAAGTCCAGCAGAGCAGTGTTTAGGTGCAGCCGAGCGATGCAGCTTCTGGGACTGGCCGACAGCGGACACGCAATTTCCCACAGGCATGACCTGCCAGGCTGCGGGGGGAGGCTTGCCGCAGTTGTCGCAGCGGGGAGCTCGCGCCTGCCGGCAACCTGGGCAGAGCGAGTGGTGGCCGGGGAGGGGCTGGGACACCGAGCCAAGGGATGCGGGAAGGGGGTGCGAGTGGAACCTCAGAGCGGAGGTGGAGGCCAGCTTTTTTTTTTTTGGATCACCCCTGCACTTCGCGCTTGACACCTTCAGGGCCCACTCGATGTTAGGTTAGGGTTGGCCTGGCTCGATCCGATTCGATTTCGATTTCATGGCGATCCGATGCGGCCCGATGCTCGCACAGCGTAATGACGCATCAGGTCGCAGCGGAATCGCGGCGCCCGAGGCACCCTCCAGAGCCGCTGGATCTGAGAGATTCTCGATTTATCCTAATCCGATTTTATCCTCATCCTGGCTTTGTCTTACTTCGCAGACCTCTGACGTGTTTTTTTTCGCAACGTGGATCCTCATGCCCAGACCCCATCGCGGGACCTATTCACCCCGCGCCGTTTTTTGAAACGGTCCCGTCCGGAGCCCAGTGAGAGGCCCTGGGGGGCGAGAACGACCCCAAACCATCCTTCGTGTTTTTTTTTTCTCCCTAATGCGAGAGGAGGTGGGGGTTGCTTCGGGCGGGGCTAGGACAAGGATAAACCCGTTCCAGAGCGTCCTGTCGGAGGGCAACAACTATACACCAACACCGATCCTGGCCCAGGATCACCCTGGGCCCAGGATCGGTGTATATGCCTTCTTGCGCAAGGCCGGAAGGCGTATACACCGATCCTGGGCCCAGGGTGATCCTGGCCAGGATCGGTGTTGGTGTATAGTTGGTGCCTTCCTATCCTGGGGCGCTCTGAGGACGCGGCGCACGATACGTCCTTGAGAGCCGCAGGACCTCAGAGACCCCCGCTTTGTCGTCATCCACGGTTCTCCTCGTCCGGCCACCGTCCTGCTCTGCGGCCCGCGCTCGCAGGCTGTTCGCCCGGCCGATAGTGACCGTGTCCTTCTTCCAGCCGGCGCGCCTCGTCTTCGGGGCGTCCTTCGACCCCCAGAGAACGACGCCGCCGGCCCACGTGCAGGCGACCGCGGCGCACCCTGCGCGTGCCGGGGGCGGGGCGCGGGCGCGTGCGCGCACCCTGGGGGGCCCCTGGGCCCCAGAGCCCCTCTCGATTCTCGCCCTTCTCTCGGGGCCCCTGGGCTCGGGTCGGGCCTATCCCCCTACAGGCCAAGTTTGCGCGAACAACTCAAAATAGTCAAGCACAGTCGAGAGATGCTCGAACATGCCAGAGATATCGTCCCCGGACTCTCTCTTGGCTGTTCTGGAACAGTCCTCCTGAAGAGGGACACGCCCGACTTAACCCTGGACCTCACCCCCAGTCATGAAGAAGTCATGACGGAAGGCTTCGCCTTCTTCTCTACCTCTGGGGGCCCTGACCGGGCCTCCTTGGACTGGCCGACAACTGCTCCGGACGAGAGGCTGGCCCCTGGAAAGGGGTCGAGACCGTTCGGGCGACGAAGTCTACGCATATCCACTGGGTGCAGGATTGGCCTGGCCAGGCAGCAGTACTCAGGGTTTCTCAATCAGCGTGGGGGAGTCCCCCCCCCGACGGGGATCAACCTCTCCTCGTTGTCGCGCCGCGACTGGGGTCTGAGCGCCTTCGGCGCGCGGTGGCTGCCCGCGACGGGGGTCGATGTGCTGCGTGGGGTCCATCACGCAGCGACTCAGCCCTGTGGGGTAGAGGATTAGCCTCGGACTCCTCCGCATGCCCCGTTGCATGATATTGTTACGTACCTGCCCGCATCGTGTTCCTGCTCTCTCGTCTTGTCGTTAGGTATGCACGCATCGCCAGTGCGCCACATGTTTCTTGCCATCATCGTCCTCTGTTCTTATCTTGTCGCCGCCGTATCATTCCAGGACAGGCGTGGCGTCAGCCGACGCCGCACAAGTCTGACGCCAATGGGGCGACGCGGGTGGCCGAACGAATGAAGCGCATGGCGAATGCGCCCGCACAGGAACCTGCGTTGGACACAGGGGCGAAAAGGGAGGCGCCTTCAGCGAAGCCCCAGCCCAGCCCCCGGTACCAGGTTGTTGAGTGGATCGGCAGCGGCGCCTGTCGTACCGCCTTCGAGGCCCGCGACACTGTGTGAGCGGGTGGAGTCTCCCCCAGAGGCCGCACTGCTGCAAACAGTGGCAGAGCCAGACCCCCCTCCCTCCTCCCCCCTTCCGCCCAATGTCGAAACGCCGAATAAGAATAAGAAAACGTTGACTGCTCGAGGTGGATGGCGCTGAGGAGCACATCCACCTGCTCCTCCTGCGGGACGTACTCCAGCGAGACGGTCGTGAGGGCCGCGGACGAGTTCGGCAGCTCCTCCATCGGCTCGCAAGGAGGGACTGTCGATGCGCTCCGCGACGAAGGCGACAACACGCGGCGGATGCTCGCCTCGCACGCGTCGCGCCTCCGCCTCCGCGCCAGCCAGCGCGCAGCGGACGCCCCGTAGGCCGCAATGTCTGCGGGCCGCCACGCCCTCGCACAGTCCCCCGTAGCAAGACCAACACTCTTCGCTCCGTATTCGCTGGCACCGCCGACGGGGAGCGTCATCCCGACTGCGCGGCGCGGCCACAAGACCGCCTCGGTAAGGCTCGGAGCGGTCCGAAGGTGCCACGGGGGGCACGTTCGAGCCAAACGGTTCTTGAAAGTAGGATGAGAAGGATCAGAAGGAGGAGGAGGAGGAGGAGGAGGAGGAGGAGGAGGAGGAGGAGGAGGAGGAGGAAGTGTGGAGGCGAAAGTAGGGGAGATGGATAGTCAATCCGTGGGAGCGCGGAGCTAGGGCCTTGAGGTCGACAAACCTGTGTTGCCTCCATATTCTCTTCGCGCTGGTCATCGTCTCGCATTCCTCGAAATTCTACCCCGTGCAGGTGCGTTATGGCAGCGCTCATCTTTGTAGATGGCGTAATGGGAGCACAGGAATACCTCTCAACTCATATGCTTGTGCATGCGCTTGCGTGCAGAGTGGCGTTGAGGATTGTGCCGCATCGCCGATGCATCGGCGATGCGGCTCGACGTGGAGCCCGATTTTCTCCACCACGACGTCGCGGATGCATCGCCGACGCCACCGATGCTTTGGCCGAAGGTATCGGCGATCCATCGGCAATGCGCCAGCGACACCCAAACATCAATGCGCCAGCGACACCCAAACATACCAGTGCTATGCGTGCGTCGCCCCCAAATGGGGCGACGCGCGCGCCGAGAAATCTCACAGTATATGCTCAGTGGCGG